CCTACCTGCCTACATACATACATACAGTAGCTGCAATCGCACGCTTGTGCATGCAGAACGCTCGGCAATTCGTCTACTGTTCCATTCTTTTTCGTGGACCATCTGCAGGGTTTTGTTTTACCGTTTTTCACCGGCAATGCAGCTTGGTGGGTTCCAGCGGCAGTATACACTGCCACGGCACATAGCAAAAACAGAGGTAGGGAGGCACATCTGCCTCACATTTAAACCCGAAGGTTCATGGCACTTAGCAGGGTGCAAGTGCGGTGTGCATTGGCGGACAAGAAGAGGACTTAAGCAAGCCTTGGTACACAGGCGTGCGCACACACATACACACATACTCACAGCAAGATGGCAGGCTCCAGATTTCGCCGCGGCTTTGGCCCGGCTCGTGGATGCAGCTCAGGCCGGTTTCGATCGGCGTGTGGGCGATAACTTCTCGCCCTGAAAGCCAAACCCGTGGTGCAGGTGTTGTTACTGGCAGGCCTTTTGAAAACCCAGGGTCCCTCTTCTTTAAATCATGTCTAGGCTGTGGAGATGAACTACCCATGCTGATGCAAGAGCACACGTTGCATAGTTGGAGTAGCTCAAACATCAAAAAGTTCATAGTTGCACCGACAGAGATGTTCAGGCCAGACGGTGTGATTCTTGTCAAACGCCTCTGTGCAGGTCGTTGCTGCTGCCGCATCGCAGCCGGCCCAGTGCTGGCCCCGACATGTCTTTCATTGCTTCAGGGCTGGAAGTGTCAATTACGAGGTTTTCCAGACTTACGTGTAGCTGGTTTCTACCAAAGGTAGACTTGCTGGCCAGGGAGGGGAAAGGTAGCATGTTGGTTTTCTTGGCGGCGTCTATCTGGTTCAGGTTGCATGATCATGGAATCATGCGTCCAGTTCTTAAGAGGGCATACGATTAGCGCTTCTGGTGTTAAGATGTTTTTTTTGGTTCAAGATGGTTCAAGCATGTCAGCCGCTATGCGGACTGTGGCCACGGCCCCATGACAACGACCACTGCTACTACCAACTATACGAACCCACTGTGCCGCTGCCACTGGCTTCCACTACCACTCCCAACTACCTCTCCTGCTCCTACTGCTACTCCTGCCGCCGCCGCCGATGCTGCTGCTACTACGAATACTTCTGCTACTACGACGTTCTCCTTCTATGACTCCCACGACTACTTCGCGACGACTACTACTGCTACCACTACC